GTATGTTTCCCTCGAATAACATCTCGTAACTTGGACATTTTTGTAGCCTAATTTTGTAGCAAGGGCCGTAAAACTCTTACTAAATCTAAAACGAAGTTATTTCGTCCTTTCTTTAGTAGGCATCTTGTTAATTCCTGAGCAACGTTAAGATCAATATGCCCGTGTTTATGCTTTCCAGTGAATTTTCTTTTAAATGACATAGATCTTACCGGACCTTGCAATGTGTCCCCTTCAATGTATTATAAATATGCAATGACCTTATATGTTTTTGTCACATTCTTCATGAACCTAAAAGGGAAAAACTTCGAAAATGTTTCTATAATGTCATCAAATTTATTTCAGAAATACTCAAATCTACATCTGGGGGTTTCTTTTCGCGCTCAAAATACAGACGTTATATGAAAGCAACAGTCCACAGCAGCATTTGAGCAGGCCTTACACTTACACTTGAAATTTTAAACTTACAGAAATACAAGTAAAAGATCGTTTACTATTCAAGCTAAGGATTGCAAGACGTTGTGACATCACTGGATCTATGTCTTGCAAGGCACAATACCCACAACACCCAATGGACCAAAGTGATTTCTGTAAAGTCCACACTGAGACAGTAAAATGTCTGCTTTTAATGTGTAATAGTGCTAGGAAGTTCTGCTCTGATCTGTCGAACTATTTCATCGAAAAAGGTACCTAAACTAGCGAGTGTGCAATATTTTGCGGGTAACAATAACAATAAAACCAAACGTTTAAATTTGATGCTTTTCCTCGTAAAGCATTTCATTTCGTCCTATAAGATCCAGTTCCACGTATCAAGATTTTAGCGAATTTTTCAGGAGGAACAAAAAACAGATTAATGTAGGTAGGTATGAATGATCAACACACCGGAAACGATCAAGCCCTAAAAGCGTATCATTATGGTACGCAATTTAGGAATTCTTGGATTTACTATCGGTTTCGTAGTAATTTTTGTTGCGTCATTCAATATTAAAATCCATTCCGCATATCTCAAGATGAGCTAATTTGGAAGCAAACAGCTATGATAGGTGAAAAAGTTTATCTATTTGCGTTTAAAACCGAGGGCGGGAAACTCAATGGAATTTATATAGAAATGGAGCCCTTGATACGCGCTTGCGATTGGTAGAAAAAAAATCTCGCCAAAATCATGAAACGCGGATCTGGCTCTTATAGGACGATTTACAAATCAAAGGTTCAGAAAAATCAACTCTGTTTACAGCAATTTAAATTAATTCTTAGTCAAGACGTGAAGTCAAAAGTGTGATCCAACAATCGTATTCTTCAAACCCCACCGATCCTTATGAACACAAACAGCCAAAACATTTACTTTGCAAATCCTCCCTATAATATTTGGTTAATATTATGTCTCTCCTTTAGGAAGCGTTTTATAATACTAGCAACAATATTAGGTCATATAAGTGCAAAGATAAATATGACTGCAGGACACACAGGAACATGAACAACCTTGATATGTATATAATATGCGTTTGCCTGTTAACATTGCACATGTGCGTCGTCCTGCCAACCAAAAGAAAACAGGAATAAAAGCAAGCTGTCTCCACACCCGCGCCTTGTACTTGTGTTAAGAGAGCTAGATCTACATGTGTAGTAGTAGTAGTGTGTGTGTGTGTGTGTGTGTGTGTGTGTGTGTGTGTGTGTGTGTGTGTGTGTGTGTGTGTGTGTGTGTGTGTGTGTGTGTGTATGTAACGATTTAAGAGAGTCGTCCGACAGGACAGCGATATCTTCTTCGTGCTGTGAACAAGGACATTATTGATTTTTGTTGTTTCGGGTAGTAAACTTGCCAGTAAATGCACAACGCTGCCGCGTACCAGCACTTCTGTCTTGCCGCGAAATGTCGCCATTCACCTCAGTTGAGCTTACATGTCTTCATAAGCTGTGCCGAACGATGGTATCATACGGTTCTCCGTGTTTCCTCTTATTCTGCAAGGAGACATTATGATTTTGGTGTTTCGGACGGATCGTGGAAAGCAGACATTGTCAAGAGGAATGAACCAGACCAAAGCTATTTAGTCATCAGGATCAGCCTTAAAAGTACAGTCACCGTGGGAATAGAAGGGTACGACACGTTGTCATTTTTTAAACAATAGCCTACGTTTGTCTGTTTTGTTTGTTTTGGGTTGTTGGGTTTTGGGTGGATTTTTTGGGGGGTCGACTTTCAATCAAGCATAAAAACTAGTATAGGTGGCTGCTTGCATGCCTCTCGTCAGCAAACAATAGAAGGCTTGTCCCCTAATAAGCTTGGAGCTTGTGGTTTGTTTCTCGATAAATATACTTTACTACGGGACGTGTATCATGTTGAAGAAGCGCCATTAATTTGCCGTGCAGCTGTTCTGCTCCCTGAGTTCGATTCCTGCTTTGGTGAATCCATTCAAACACGCTCTCTAATCATTCTGCATGGGAAGCTGTATATTGATTATTTAAAAATCGTGTTTCAGTAAATGATTTTTTTTTCTTTCAGTCTACAACATTTAGTTCTTTTGAAGAGGAGGGACTTGTTTCGATCCGGCCTGTCGAATTCAACCCAGACCATGAGAAGATGTGCATTGATCGTAACAGAGAGATACTCAATAATAAACTTTGCAGGCATCAAACTCCTATTCCTGCTTAATTGTAGTGAAAGTATTGTGATTGAGTGGTAATTTCAACAAAAATGTTAATGAAGCTTTGGGTTTTCAAACAAGATAATAATGAATATAATGTGGTCTGAATGTAGAACAGAGAATAATTGTGTACTGGAGGAAAATAAATAGTAATTGAAAAAAGGGTGGTGGAAATGTAAAGAAGAAGACGAAAAGGAGAAGAAGAAGAAAAAGAAGAAGAAGAAGAAGAAGAAGAAGAAGAAGAATTTAATAACCTGTCCTAATAATCGTGCGGGCATAAAATGTCCTTGTAAGAAAATTCATAAAGATGACAATACCTCTCGCTCTGCACCCCCTTGAATGGCTACATAATGCAAAAGTAAAGATGTTCCTGCATCCGATCCGGACATTGGGGATTGCCTTGTTAGTGAGGCAACTTTCTGGGCCTTCGGCATATTGTGGTTGGGTGGCCAGTTCCTTTTCCTAACTCCGGTAACCATTACAGGAGGGGGCGAAACAAATCAGCGTCTGAACTGAGGCTTGAACACGGACTTTCTGCTTTGGAGACGTGCGCGCTAACCGCTCTGCCACCGCTCCCTCTCATGTACAGCAATTTATTCTACCTGTACAGTAATTAAAACAGCAAGCTACACTGATATTACTGATAATTACATATGATATAGTTCCGCCCTGCTTCGATATTGATTTTGCGCCCTTGGGCATCAAACGCACGCTAGTCGGATTCGGGTTAACCACAATTAATTACTTTCTCTATGCTTTTTCTATCAGTTAAGACTTGTCACGAATAATATGTTAATCAAGCTTAACACTGTTGTGAAGTGTGCGTTTAACTGACTCTTTGTATAAGAAGAGTATTTTTGGGCAGGATGCTGCAACCAACATTGAATGGTATGGATCCTGGAAGAATGCTGGGGTTGAAAAGGTCCGAATATCAGTCTTTTTTTAGGGGGGGAGGGGTGCTTTTGGAGGGGGTGGGTCTTCTTCCTTGTGTTTATCTGCTTTTCACCCTTTTCAACGTTTGTCTGGCAAAAATGAAAGGCGATTGATATATGGAGGAAAAGGTGTTTTGCATTACCCCTTTCACAGAACCAAAGACAAAAAACCAAAGCGATTTTTTCTTGAGTGTATGGGTGGGTGGGGTGGTGAAAGAGAGGAGAGAGAGACGGGTTTTCCTGATTCCAATGTTCTTCATAACTGTAAGAGGATTTTTTGAGAAATCCAACTACCTGGGAGAGTGAAAACCCAAATAGGATAAGGATCTGTGGGTGATATCTTTCAAATGTGTTTATTTAAACACTGGAAATGTAGCCAGTCTGTCACGGAAACGCGTCACCACTGGGGAAGATTGGGATACGTACGTCAAGCCCTTCTAAAAGTCACATGTATTTACCCCAGAAGTACAACGTTCTATCTGAACAGTATCAAGTTTTTGCGAAATTTGACATTATAATTTTTGAATTACACATGACAAGCTTTTGTAAATGTTTTTTTTAATATCTTGATAACTATTAATCAAAACGACCAAATATGTCAGATAGGACGTTGTAATTCTGAGGTAGCGATATTATTATCTGCAAGGGATTCAAACTTACAGGCAACGATTCTCTGCCTGGAGTTTAGAAGAGGCAAATTAGCTTTGCCCCAGGTGTTGGAACATAGTTTTGTTCAATCTGATTTATGTAGCGGACCATAGTTGCTTGAAGGTGAGGGTGCTAATGAAAAATAAACGATAGGTGTCTGTTGGTATGTTGACGTAGGCCCCTACCAGTAACGATGGTGACATTTGATTCTCTCTCTCTCTCTCTCTCTCTCTCTCTCTCTC